CTCACTGTAGCGGTCCAACGATCGGATTACTATGTATCCCAGAGATAAAAGTTTTATATTGAAAAGTAGCCCTTGACCAAGGGCAGTGCGAAGATATAACAGCAAGGTGCAAGTACCTCAGAAATCGATCTTCAGAAATTCAATGTGTTGGAACTTTCTATTCTCTGATAATATACCTGAATAAATAAGTGATGACCCGGTTTTAGCACAAACATCTTCATTCTCGACTACCATCACTCGAAAAGAAATAGCTAAATTTTCGAGATATGAGGATTATCTTCGTTAACTTAATTCTCGAACATTTATATCTCTGTCGAATTGCCGTAAGTTCGGTCGATTCTGCTTTCTGCTTTGATAACTTCTACGAAAGGTATATAAAGTGTGCGTGTTAAATGTTTTTGGTCTTTAAACAAATGATTTCTGCAGAATTTCTTCCAACTATTTGAAGATACAATGTATTCACGTGCGCAATGGATCGGTATTAGACACATTTTGTAAGACATACTGAGGCTTTGAGGCACGAAGAGTAGTTTTTGTCGTGTGACCAGTTCGATGAGCCAAACACAGTGTACTACTACCGCAGTAGAACAAGTGTATATCAGATGCTCCCATCGTCCAATAATCTCCATCCACTTTGATCTGCCTCTGGGGTTTGAGTTTACTGAAGTCGACATGTTTCACTTCACTGTCTCTCTTCTCACTTCTCTCTGGTGATTTCTGTCGAAAGCATGTACTTTACCTTGTTTCACATGCAGATTCAGGTAAGTGATGAAACTTTTGAGTTATTCTGTAGAAGAATATCACGTAGTTCCGTATTTGTTCATGAAAGTATGAATATATGTTGCACTTGATTCAAACTAATTTTTAGTTTTTTTATCATATACTTACATATGCATACGTGCTATACTATCTACTCAAGCACGAAAACAAATCTGAAACAGGTGCTTGCCTGTAGATTAAAAGGTACATATATCTAGGTTCAATTAGCTATACTAGAATACATGAAAATTCCTGGCTTCAGCTAGGTTGAATCTACCTTGAACTGGGTACAAGTGGTTGCTATCGATTAATCGAGCAATTGATTACCCAATTACCCAATTAATTGCAGCTGTGTTTCAGCTAGTACACGATTTTATCCAGCATGCAGCTAGATAAATGTACCTTTAATCTAGTTAATCTAGTTATTTTTGTAGCTAGATTTTCTCGCTTACTTAGTCTTGCGTGGGTATCTGCTATGCTTGCTTCTAACAGATAATGTAGGAAAAAAGCAAAACTTAAAACAAAATTGATGAGTATGCGTCAAGACCGACGAACTCAAGTGAGACGTATAATTATTTGAAAAGGTTTCTATTAGAAAAGCGTTTTCTATGGTAACACTTTATTAAGTTCGAACCATTTCGTTTATTATTCTATTTTTCTAAAATCTAACTTTTTATGAAAATAAACTACAGTCCAAAATCTACAAAATATGAAAAGTGGTTGTTATCATCAGCAGCAGATTTTTTTTAAACCATGGCTAATTTTATTATACCAATGGTATCGTTAATCGCTTGATTTCGGTCCTTTTGTATCTTTCAGTATTAATTGCAATAATTTAGTTCGTCTCAATGCTTCTAAAGGCGTCTCAGTACCACACGGTAAACTATTCCTTCCGTGTTTAACTTTTAGATCATTTTTCACTTCTAAACTTCGTTGTGATAGTACCCGTTTTAAATATTTTTGTAATTTTTCTAATTCGGTTAGTATTGTTTGCATATTAAAGTTTAACTGTTCTAAATCGTTTTCGTATGTTTCACGTAGTTGATAATCGAGAGTTTTTTCAATTTTATCATTTAGTTTTTGATGTTTACAAGCCATCAAGGCAAATTCCGTACGTAATTGTTTAATTCGTGCACAAAGATGACTTTTTGTCGTTGGAATGATGGTGGTGGCTGAATATAAATTACGATCGATTACACTAGATGGTGAATTCGGACCAGGAGAATTAATGCTCGTTATTGGACGTGAGGCACGATGTAGTGGTGAACCAGATGGTGATAATGGACGATAATGGCGATAACCAGTATGGTTAGATTTTAACGTATTATATTCTTTGGATGTAAGGCAGAGCTGATGATTATGATTTTTCAAAAGAGCCATTACCTAAACAAAAGAGAAGAATTTTTGTTCTCCTATTTACGTTGAAATACATCTTACATTTTGTACATTTGACGTTAAATTGTGACTAGGTGATGTTGAGGCACCCAAAATGAATGGTGCTGCATTTAAATCTAAATGACAATGTCGAACACTATCTAATATATATTGGTTATTACGTTTCGTTTTCTTCGATGACGGTCGACTTTTTCGTTTTGATCCTTTGGTTGATGCACTATACCGTCGTTTACTAATAAATTGTTGTTGATGAGTGGATGATTTTTTCATTGAAGTTGAATCTAGACCATTTTCCATAAGTTGACGAACTTTTCCATGTTGTTTTTCAAGTAAATGAAAACGTAGTTCAGCATTTTGTAATTGATGATCGACGTCATTTGCGTCTGGTGTTGTTGTGATCGTAGCCGATTTTGGACGATGACGAATACCATTTTTGATATGATGAAGATTAAATTCAGCGCGCTGAAAATAGAGAACTGTTGTATATTAATCAAACTACGAAGTCATTTAAATGACACATCTTGTAAACAATTCACTTCCTGTAAGTTTTCGTTTCTATTGCACTTACTTCTCGTTCTTCTTCAAGATTTTTAATTTTTAATGTTAATGATTTTAACGCTTCAAGTAAATTTTCTCGATTGCTCTCGGGAAGTACAGCTGTTTTTGAGGGTATGTAAGATAATCGTTGATGAGTTGAATTGATAAATGGTTTACGAACAGGATATTCATAAAAACCAGACGTATCAGCTGATAAATTAGACCACATATTCTTTGATTTTAATTTGTCTAGAATATACGGTAAAGATAAAATAACAAATTCATTACTACACACGAACGGTTTAGATTTTAGATTCAGTGTGACGAAGATTTTTCAATCATCTATCTTTCCTGAAATTTACGAATACAATAGACAACCAAAAACATACTGTAGCTCAAGACTATTATTAACAACGTTAATTTTTAATAATCGACTACATCAAACAAGATGTAACAGAAAACTAATCATTTTCAAAACTACGAATATATGTTAAAGTCAGACAGTGAGTAAACTTATCTCGGTCGGGATTATATATCTCGATCGAGCTATATACCTTAACGGGATATCTGCTTTTTTTGCTATATCCCAATCCGGACATAGTTTTCTTACAGTAAAGCTGCAGTTTAAAACCGCCAGAACTATTTAACGTGCCACTTGTAGTCCAGAGATGATATAGAACATAACATATCAGCGTCAGAACTTGAATGATTAAAACGCTTCGGCATTTTTAAAACCTTAAATGTTTACATATAATGCACAATATAAGTTCGCTGCGAACTCAATAATAGTGGTCACATTTTCAGTTCGCAGCGAATGATATTCTATGTATATGTACCAGACACATGAACAAGATTATTCATATGCGGTGAGAGGTGGGGTTGAGTGTGAGTTCGAAAAGTAGCCGCACGATACCCTAAAATTCCTCAGCTACCTATGATACTCTAGATATCCTAAATACCTAAGATACCTGACAAAAAAAAGCTTATCGCCGACAAAAATTAAAGTTCATTTAGAGTTAAAGCTAAGTGCTTTTTCATATTCAGCACACTTGATAACCTGTAAAATTTTCTATTTTTAGCGAGGGGTACCGACAAAAAGTTAAGAAAAAGTTTCAAAATTTTATAATTTTACCATGGGGATTTTTCTGCGGCAATTTGTTTGAAAATTTTTCTTAACTTTTTGTCAGTACCCCTCGTTAAAAATGGAAAATTTTTCAGGTTATCAAGTGTGCTGAATACGAAAAAGCACTTTTCTTTAACTCTAAACAAACTTTAATTTTTTTATCGGTGATATGTTGCAGAAAAATGAGTTCACCACAAGCTCAAATTGTGCACGACTTCAGCGATTGAGCTAAATTTTTGCATCCGAAAACCTCTTTTGTAAACAATGCCGTTTATCTGAACATTTCACTGAATGTCGCTATCTTGTGCAGAGTAAGAGAATATGTGAAGATATTTTTCGAAAGTGTTAAAAATAGCTAGTAAAAATCATCATTTTTCGCTAACGAATTTTATTGAAAACTATATTCCGATTGGGCTATATTTTGATTCAAAACGGGATATATATTCCGATCGGAGTATAGAGCATGCGTCTCTATTGTCAGAGATCCGATTGGACTCGGAGAAAAGCATGAAACTATCCGCAACGATACATATAAACCGTACCTTGTTCTGATTCACCAAACCAGCCTGCAGAATGCGAATTACTAAGAGAATATAGAAAATATTGAATGTACAGGACTTAAGTGATATACCAGTGTGATATAAATTTATTGAAGCATAAAATTTTCTTTGCATGATCCTTCCAGTTTGTCCAATTATCTGATAAATAGAGAGATAGTCAAATTTGCCATTTCAAGGGCTTAAGTGTTCGTGGACTTCCATAGCAGGCTATAAAGATTACTCATACAATCTTAACTGAAAAATAATTCATAAAACTAGAACTAAGTGTGAACGCTTAAAGAACAACCCATTCGATCCGTGACTTTTCGAAAGAAGAAGGTGGTTTTATACCGGATTTAATGGTAATAGTATCGGTTCTGCGTGAAAAATCTCAAACCGAACCCGCATACGGATCTTCATATCGTAATCCGATAGGATCGGATATAAGTAATACTTATATACCTCTATGTTACATGAATGAAAAAGTAAGAAGAATAACAAAGGTCAAAGTAGGATGTTCTTCTTCCGAATATTAGAAACCTTGTAGTTTTGCACTCAAGTATAATGGAGTTCAATTTTTAAGTATGCATACTCGTTCGCAGCATATAGAATTCGGTACTTGAGAAACTCTGCACTCGGTGATTTCTTCGTCTGGTCTATACATACGCTTTAAAAAATTTGACCAAATTCGTTCAGTGACGCTCTCTAATCGAAACTATTAGAGTCAATCAACTTGGTTAAAAATTCTGTTGAACAAACTTTCTAGATTTTGAGCAATTGGCGGTACAACGTATCACTTCACTTCATTCTATTGCACCAGCTCGATTACTTTAAGAATAAGTGAGTTTATAATCTATTTTTCTTTAAAATTTGTATGCTTGAACTGTAAAACAACGAAAAATATTAGAGAACTTAATCGGGATATCTTACCTTTCATCTGCTCAATGAATTCATATTTCATTCTTAACATGTACTCATGATTAAAACCATCCAATTCTTTCCTCGTTACATATTAAGACATGATCACTTTTAGTTTAAAATGAAAAATAAATAAAAGAACATTTTTTTTTAATGTCAATTAAAAACTTAATAGATTTCACTTATATAAGTATGTAAGTTAGAAAAAGAACAAAAAACAACAAAAGAAAAAAGAATGACAATCCTAGTACAATTTCTTGACTGAGAGAGTTGCTCAAGTAACAAGAGAATGAGACATTTCTTGTGTTAAATATTTGGTCCGAGATATAATTCTTAACTTCTTATTACTTTTTATGTCATGGGATAAAACATCTAGTGTCAATCACACTTCTCGACTCAAGTTTTTAACAATACAAAATGCAAAAGAAGACTTTTTTCTAATAAAAAAGAAGTTCATCCATATGTTTTCATTATTAACACTTCTTATTATTGTAATTATAATGACTATTCAACTAATAATTGAAAGAAAACTGTACTGCTGTCATATATACCTGAATGCTCACTTTTTTCCTTTCTTCTGTAGTGTGCGATGAACGTGTGAGCATAGAATAGTGATGAAAGAAAAGAAAAATATCTTAAAAATAATTTTTTTCGAATAAATGAAGAATGGAGAAAAGAGAAATGAGATATCTACCTGTACGTTAGATTCTTATAAGGTAAAAAGTGTGTGTGTGTAAATTATATTCCACACAGAGAAGAAGAAAAAAAAATTTGCTAATTTTTTTTTGTCTTTTCTGTTAAATATTTAATTTGCATTTTACATAGAGTTGTTACCTTAACTACAATCTCATATGTGTGTCATATGCTGTGTAAAACAAAAAACTTATTTATTATACAAGTAGATGTAACGTGAAATCTCAAAATGTATGATCGATGATGCTTTTGGCGTTATTTTATATTTAAAAGATAAAAGAATAAAAGCAGTGGAAGTGGTTCGTTACTTTGTTAAAATATTCTTATTTTATGGATATTACTTAGTGATTGAGTAATAGAAGACTGTACCTTGAAAATATTTCAAAAATAGCTTTTTGCTAAAATTTTTATAGATGAATTTAAAATATAGGAGTTAAAAGATAAGATGATTTATGTCAAATTGAAACCCAAATTTATCGTCGATTTTCTTTAACGGATGGGCCAGAAATAATGACACACTTTTGTTCTCGTTTCTTTCGAGCACAACTGAGATTCGAAGATTCAATTCTAAACTCATTGGATAGAGAATTTTCTGCTGTACAAAATCCATCATCTTCTTTCATTACATATTATTTCATTATTTTTAAAAAATAGTGCAGAGTAAGAAGAATAACTGCAACAGAAGGAACAGGTTATTTTTTTTGTTTATATCTTTATTGATTCTTTTCAAATAAGGCCTGCGATAAAATCATTATAGGCCTAGATCTAAATACTAGAGTATGGAAGAGTAAAATAAAATACAGATCGATAATATAATGAACAACAGCAAAAAGAAAGTAGGAGAAAAATGAAGATTTTAGGTGATAATGAGCCAGGTCGGACGAAGTGGTGGTGACTGACATTCTGAAGAAACGATAAAATTATAAAATAAAGTGCAGCTAGTTTTCGAATCTCTTTGTTCCGCTTATATAGCAGTTGACCGCATCCAAAACAGTACACTGCGTGTCCTCATCCAACTGTAATTTATTTAGTAGAAAAGTATCTAGTGTAATTCCATTTAAAAAATTCAGCTTCTGTTCTAATAGATTTCTCTGAATATGGTACAGTGTACAGTTGAAAAAATAACGTACAATATCCTCTCTCTCACTCCCACAACTGCACCAAGGTGACTCGACACATTTCCGTTTGTATAGATAATGATTTAAAGGTGAAAATTCACACTTAATGCGCATAAATATTATTTCTTCTCGCCTTGTGGCAAACTTTAAACGTTTAGAAAATTTTCCAGTTGGAGTTACCTTAGTTTTTAATATTACTCTCACTATAGCAACTTTCATTCTCAACACTTCAGGATCTTTTAATACTAGCTAGTCTATTCCATTCTTCAGTTACCACTACAAAAAATTCTTTAGAAGTATTACTCACTGTTTCTATAGTTGTATTTCGATTACTACGTAGATTATATCTTTCATTCGGTTGATGAACGTGTAAATGCGCAGACAGATAACCAGGCGTAAGTCCTTTCATGATTTTAGAAAATGTTAATAGTCGTAAAATTCGGAAATGATCTTCCAAAGAGAACCACCCTAATATTCCGTACACTTTCTCTCTTGATGTTCCTTTCATCGCACCTACAGTTGCAATTGCTGCTTTATATTGTACACTTTCTAATTTATTAAAGTTAGCCGCAGTAGTTAAGGAGTAAATAATACAACCATAGTTCAGAATTGATAAAACATATGATTTATAGATAATTTCAAGTGCATTTCTATACAATACATGTTTATAATATTTCATCAATCCTACTATCGAAGATGTTTTAAAATAAACTGTATTTATATGGGTAGTCCATGTTAAATCATTAGTAAACGTTAAGCCTAAATACTTTACTTCTTTCTTTTCTTCTATCAGCGAATTATACAGAAGAAATGGTGGGAGAGAAGAAACATTTTTCCGATTTTGTCTCGTAGAAAATGTTATAGACTCACATTTCAAGGGATTTAAAAGTAAATACCATTTTTCTGACCATTCCTGAATCTCGACTAAATCATTGTTTAATATCTGCGTACAAATTAATGGATCAGGATGGTGATTTAATAAAATTAAGTCGTCCGCAAACAGCTTTACAGTACTTTCGATGTTAGAAGGCAGATCATCAATGTAAATAAGAAAAAGGAGAGGTCACAGGACAGAGCCCTGAGGCACTCCCTTTGTTACAGATCGTTTAGAAGAGATACAGCCATCTAACACAGTTTGAATAGTTCTGTCTTTTAAGTAATCTGTGATCCATTGTAATGCACGACCTCGAACTCCTTTTTTATATAATTTTAGTAAAAGACACTGATGATTCACATTATCAAATGCTTTTCTAAAAGCGCACTACGTACCACTTTATTTTCTCTCATACCTGAATTTATTTTATTTACTACATCTAAGAGCAAATAAGTAGTACTATCCTTAGCTATGAATCCTGATTGACAATTAGAAAGAAGTTTATTCCTAGTGAGGTGTCTGTACAATTGTCTGTGAACTAAATGCTCTGGCACTTTAGATAAAACTTTAAGTAGAGTTATAGGTTGATAATTAGATCGTTCTAATGAATCACCACTTTTATACGGTGGATTTATAACTCCATTTTTCCATATTTCGGGAAAGATTAACGTTTCAAAGGACTCATAGATTAATTTACAAACAGGTTTAACAATAGACTGTGCCATATTTTTAATCATACGGTTAGTAATTTCAGGCGCACATGCACGACTGTGATCCAAACTACGTAAAATATTTTCAACGTCAGGTTGCACTACCGTAAATTTATTAATTAAAACTTTGGATTCAGAGAAACAATCAGCTATTTTTGAATCGATTATTGGCCCTGTCCACGTGCAAACTTCAGCAAAATATTCGTTTAAAATTTCAATCTTTTCTCGTGTATCGACCATTATTTCATTCATACTGTTTAATAATGCTGGAATCACGGTCGTACGTGTCCTACCTAATGTATTTTTGACTAAGCTCCATCAATTCTTTAAAGAAGCACACACTTTTAAATTTATCCTTTTATAGTAATCTTCTTTGGTGGCAATACAAGCTGTCTTAAGCTCTTCTGCAGCTATTTCGTATAGTTGAAAATGATAATTCGATATTTTACTTTTTCGATGTAGTTTACATTTCCTTTTATACAAAATTCTTAACTTGTCGTTGAACCAAACTTTATCGCTTGGTTCAATACAAATTTTTTTGTTAGGTACATAGTACTGTATATGCTCCAACAATATCTGCTCGAAAGCTGTAACTCTTTCATTCAGATTATTATAATTCTTTGAAAGCTGATGTACAGGTATTCCATTGAATCGTTCATTCACTTTCTACCAGTTAACCACATTATAATAAAGTTATGATCACTTCGGTCTAAAGGTGGTCGTATAGCTATACCAGTTATAAATGAAGAACTTTCCACAGTAATCAAATCTAAAACAAGTACCAGAAACATCTCTTGTCACTCCTCTAACTAACTGATACAGATTCTCTTCCTGAAGAAGATCATAGAATACCTCTCCTGCTTTAGTAGATTTTACATCGTCGTTAGTCGGGTTCCCGTTGAACATTTTGCGGCACAATTTAAAATATCGGTAATAATTTCAGTTTTGTATTACTCATTGAAATACAAATCTTAGTCACGCAGTGTACTGAAAAAGCCATGAAGACACAAGTACGACGCAATGGTGATTTTTCCTTAGTAGATTCGCGTAGCCGTACAGTAGAGATCTGCAACCCGACCCGAACCCGACTCGACCCCAAGGTCGGTTCGGGTTCAGATACTGTCGGGTCTGGGTTCAGATGCTGTCGGATCGGGTTCGGGTTACGTTTTCTTAACTCGTGCGGATCTCTAGACCACAATCGATCATGTGCATTCAAATCCCCTACTAAAAGTATTCGATCCTTTCCATATTTTGATTTCTTAATCTCATGTAATACCATCTTTATTCTTTCACTCAATCTTTTTATCGATGGTGATTTTGGCCGATATACGTCGATAATAATCACACTCAATTTATTAGTTAGTGCCAAACGCAGTACAAGAATTTCAAATCTTGTATTCTCAAAATCTACCAACCGTTAAACATAATAATCACTCCTTACATAAACTGCACAACCTCCCCGCATCGATTCCCGTCTTTGTGCAGGTGTATGATAGTGAGAAACTGCTAAATTAATAATTGTACTGCCAAGCCAAGTTTCGGTTAGATACAACACTACCGGTTTATTCAAGGATAGATAAGCACATACACTATCCATATGTGATGATAAACTTCTTATATTCATAGACGAGAAAATTTCACCAGCAAGCACATTACTGTTCGAACTTATCATGGTGGAAAAAAAATGTCAGTCATGCCAGTATCGTCCACAAAGGGCTCAGTATCACTTACATAGTTAGACGGAATAAGAAGATAATAAAGAAAAAATTTAAGAAACGAAAGGAAAGTGCGAAAAAATGATTCTTGACTAAGGATTATGTGAGGTCACTGAATATCACAGCCTATATTGACTTATTAAGTGCATGATCAACATCTATCATTGAATTGAACTTCTTGTATTTACCTTTAGCCAGATACATTAGAACATTACCATTACGTGTAAATACACGTCTTTTATCCAGTTTTATTTTTGCATAGAGATAAATCTGATTGTTATGTTGTGACAAATGTTCATTTATAAAAATATTTTTTAGTTCATCAATTTCACGAAATTTCTTCCTTGATGAATAAAACACGTTTCTATCCGTAATTCGTAGGAAGCCAACTATTATTACCTGACGTGATTTATTTTGAGAATTTTTTGAAGGAAGCAGTCTGTGATTTCCATAGAAATCATTCTTTGTCAATTGTAGACCAACTTTTGACATTAAATCAATCACGAGAACAGTAACATTTTCATCACTTTGAAATGGAATACCATAAATTATCAGGTCTTTTCTTTTCGTATACTGATCATGATCATTAACACGCATTACAACAGTATTCAGCTGTGATTCCATTGCATTTAAACGTTGTGTTAATTGACCAATTTGTTCTTTCTGTTTTTCTGTGGCTTCTTTAACTACATTTATAATAGAATTGATGAATATATCAGAACTAACAATAGACTTTGCCAGTTGTTCAACAAATTGTGATGATAAAAATTGGTCTTTAATAATTTGCGACAAATTATTATTACTGATGTTGTCAGCCATTATATCAACTGATTTTGATTTTTTGTAGAAGAAGAATTTAAAGGCGACGGTGGTGAATGTTGATTAACTTTTCGCATAAATTTAACTATAGTTGTGATATCAGAAGAGAGACTAAACGATACGTCTGTTCTTCATGAAAAAGAAAGTAAGAAGGAACAGGTTATAGTTATTTTTGTACTTGACTTAATTGATTATTTAATAACACTTCTGTTAGCTATTCATTACAGGTACTTTGTGTGAAGAATTCGTCTTCATTTAATTAATCCGCATTGACAAATCAAATTTTTCCTAACATTTTGCCACTAAGAACGGATGATCCTGAAATTATGAGGTTACTCATGTATCCGTTTTTATCCATATCTCGTATAGTTCCAAGACTTCGTTCCGACATTAGAAGATAGAAAATTTTCTGCTCTACAAACGCTATAACGCACACTTTCACTGTGTTGTTTGGCTAGTCTTTTTTCTGCTTTTTTCAAAATCCCACGTTATTCGAAAGTACAGATTAACTTGTGCACTGAAAACTTCGCAATTTAAGTGACCAAACGGATAAGCAGCGTAGTCTGGATGATAGCGCTCAATCCGCTGAACATTTTTATACCATCTTTGTCTCTCAATTACCACATTATTTCTCGAAAAGTTATACAAAAACGAAAATCCACCAAAATTTTGATAGGAAATCACAGTTGTACTTTTACCTGTCCCTCCTACTCTGCTCTATTTTTTAAAATAATGAAATAATATGTAATGAAAGAAGGTGATGCGTTTTGTACAGCAGAAAATTCTATATCGAATGAGTTTAGAATTGAATCTTCGAATAGTTGTGTTCAGTTGTGTTCGAAAGAAAAGAGAATAAAAGTGCGTCATTATTTCTGGCCCACTCGTTATTTAACCTATTTGAAAAAATTATGTGTGTTCAAGAAAATGTTGATAGATATGCAGTGATTTCTCTCATTCAAAACTTTGAAGAAAGATCGATGTCGAAAAAGCCCTACAATCCATATTGCCGAGACTACACAGAATATTGGCGAAGTGTTACAAAACACTACCGTATTGATACCTCTTATACTCAAAACCCTTGAAACAGACTTCTCGAGATCTTGTGATATAGATCGTCCTTACATTTTCTTTTTATATCGCAGTAATGGTAAAGGAAGATACTTCCTTGAACAACTATACTTACGAAAGAAATAATTTAGAAAGTATTTTGACTATGAAACTTTTCGCGTTTATATAAGGTGCCGCTAATTCAAAAATCAAGCACTCTTCATTTTTCCTTGAAAGACACATCATCCGATGCAGAATTTTGTGCTGATTACGAATATCACCTTTTTAGTTCGATTTGTTTGAGTTTTGTGT